CATAAAAAAATGTATAAACTCCTTAAATATTATACAAAAATAAATTTTCAAATACCACTTCCTCAAACCAAAACTATATATAGATAGTTGTGTTTAAAAATAGATATATATTCACTCCAACACACTTACACAAATACATGTATGTATATAACAGATTTAGTTTAAAAATAGACCTAAATAGATATTTATCCATAAGGTGTGCACACACACACACATATTTGATGGAGTTTAAAAATACATAAACTTAAATATATATTCACATAACTCACACACACATACACATACACACACATTCACACATGCACACATACACACAGAGAGAAAGGCTGGTTTTTCCCAAAATGTTATGTCTGAAATGGTGGTACCTAAAATTTTATATCTTGAATTGTTCTACATTTTCTTTTTTTGAAAATTCCTTTCTTTCATTAATTTAGCCATTTTTTGAGAAATATTGTTTTTTGTCAAAAGTTTGTTTTTTAATTATATATATATATATATATATATATATATATATATATATATATATATATGATCACATTTAAAAATACATAGACCTGAATAGACTTGCTATTGCTCATTCTAGTATTGATAGGGGTTTCCTTCCTAACTTTTTGTTTGCGGTTGTGTTGATTGCCAGAAGTTTTGGTTATTACATTATTATTTCTTCAAGTTACACATGCTATCCATTTTAGTCATTGCTTACATTGAAAATCCTCAAGTGATGGTTGTTTCTGTTATTTGATAAAGGTCTTTGTGATTTTGTAGCGCCAGTCCATGAGGTTCAAAGGAAAATAATCTTTGCTAAGTCCAAGAGGATTCATTCACCGGAAGACATTTTAAACCCTCGATCTGAGAAAATTGGACAGCTGAGATAATTTCTGAAAAAAGCAATAACACTTACTGGACTTGAGAAACTTATTTTCCAGAAAAATTGTCTTGAGGGAAAGATTTTATAAATTTCAAATGAAAGTAGCACTGCATTCTCAGTCAATGAATGCCGAATATTCCCTTATAAGGAGAGGAGAAGAACGAATACTACGATGGACAGGAAATGAAGAAAAGTATAACTCAAGTAGCACTAGATTATTGGTCACTGAATACCAAATATTTCCTTATAAGGAAACAATTAATATTACAATTTCAATTTGAAGAGAAGTGTTACTACACTTTGATCCCAGCCTGATGGTCAGGGAGTGAAGAAAAGTATAACTTGAGTTGATGGAGAAGCCAGTGCAACTCTGTAGAACCACATCTCTGTTGCCTCAAGGCTCAATAGTAATTTTAACCATTTCTTTATAAGGGAATATTTTATAAAGAAATGGTTAAAATTACTATTACAATTCAAGATGAGGAGAAGGGATACTACACTTTGATCCCAGCCTGAAGAAGTGAAGAAAAGTATAAATCTAGTTGCTCTGGTTACTTAGTCAATCAATGCCAAATGTTTCCTTATAATGAAACAGTTACTATTAACAATGAAATTCAAGATGAGGAGAACAGATACTACACTTTGATGCCAGCCCAATGGTCAGGGAATGAAGAAAAGTATAACTTGAGTTGCAATGGCTACTTGATCAATGAATGCCAAATATTTCCATATTAATATTACCAGTACCGATAAACAAAAAAATATGCATGTTCATCCAATTGAGTAGGAATTAATATGCAAAAAATTGCATACATTTATTGCTTGAATAAACTAGACAGAAATAATTCAAAAGCAGGGAATGAAGGTTTGGACATAGATGTAACCGTCTTCTTACGTACGAATGTAAAAATTTCATATGAAAGATTGTGTGAGACTTACATTTTGGGAACAATTCTTTGCTGGTGCAGTAAATTATACCGGTTGACATTTTTTCAACTCAAATGTTGTTGGGCAATGGGCACACGTTTCTGGGCTATTTTTTCACTATTTTGTGTCAAAAAAAATGTCGGTTTTATTCAAGATGCCCTTTGGGATGCATTTTGATAGAGGACAGTAAGTGAGACACTGTATCCGTAGACGTATTGAGATGGCCAAGGATGCATTTCAAAAGCTGGGCAGAGTATTGCAAGGCAGGAGAATTTTTTTTTTGATTACAAAGAAAAGAGTACTAAGCTGTTACATGACATCCGTCCTTCTTTACAGCAGCGAATGTTGGAAAAGTTGAAGACGAGACTTGAGGCAACAGAGATGTGGTTTTACAGAAGGATGCTAAGGATATCATGGAACAAGTGTGTGAACAATGATGAAGTCTTAGAGAGGATGCAAACAAGGAGGAGGCTTATACTTAATATCAGGAAGAGGCAACTGAAGTTTCCTGGGACACATAATGAGGAAGGAGGGCCTGGAGAATCTGATACACATGGGTCAAATAGAGGGAAAAAGAGAAGAGAAAACAACCCATGACATACCTAGCAGGCTTGAGGAAGTGGATGACAGAATGTGGCCTGGGGGAGGAAGCAGAGGGAAGGAACTTGTAAGTGATAGATGGAGGTGGTGAGTCATGATTGCCTACATCCTGAAAGGACATGGCACATAAAAAGAAAAGAAAGAAGTTTAGTGTGTTTGTATGCCATGTAGAGATAAAGTTTTGGCAGAAACAGAAACAAAAACAACACTTTTGCTTAACATCAGAAAGAGACAGTTGAAAATTCTAGATCACATAATGAGGGAAGATGGCTTGGAAAATATGATACTCACAGGACAGATTGATGCCAAGAGTGACAGAAGAAAACAATCCATACCCTACCTAGTGAGCTTGAGTATATAGATGATAGAACAGGGTTTAGGAGAGATAACAAAAAGAAAAAACTTATTAAGGGCTAGGACAGGGAATTGTGGTGAGCCATGACCATGTGGACATGACACATGAAGAACAATCAGGTAGAACTTAATATAAGGATATCAGTTTTAATATCAAATTTTTTTTAAAGCATTTTTTATCTAAGGGACAAAGCATATTAAAGTTCTGTGTTTAGCAGAAGTTCTTTGGTAAATAATTGGGGTAATCACACATAGTCTGTAGAAAATGGCACTTTTTAGTAGCCTCTATTATCTGTTCCAAATTAACATATTTTTTTTGCTTTACCCTTGCTACTGAAAAAGAGATTATAGCAATTTTTATCTTGGAGCAAACATCTACATTTTTTGTATTTTAACAATCATTCTGCAATCAAAATATATTAAATTCTGCCCCAGAATAGGGAAAAGAAGGGATGGTCATTTCTGTCCTAATATTTAACCTTGCTAATCATAATTTCTGATCAATAGATGTGACAATTTTCCTGTCACCAAAACTTAATTTGGATGCAGACGATAATGGCTCTTCATGGTGTCCTTTTGCATTAATTGGCTAATTTTCATAAAATATTGGGAAAGGTAGAGACATGGTTTCCAGTTTCCTTCTCTATGATTTGGGTTCAATAATTTTCCTTCTCTTAGGTTGGTTGCTACACAAGGATTGAAAGCCAAGTCAACATAGCTACTTTACTAATAGTTAGAGTGGAGAAAGATAGATCAACACTAGTGTGAAAATGAAGGCAAACAACAAGACAAAAAGGAAAGGAAAAGAAATATATAATTTTACCATAAAAGGAAAAGAAAGAAATACACAGGTTAAAGCAGAAAAAAAGAAGAGGACAAGAAATCAATAAAAGGAAAAAGAAAGAAGAAAGAGAAATAGAAAGAGGTAAGAAAAGAAAGACATAAGAAATCTTTTATGGAAATTTTTCTTGTCTTTCTAATTTTTAAAAATCTAAAAAGAAGTGATATTTCATAACTAGCATTTTAAAAAAAAACCTTTATAATTATCTTTGATCACCACCTGATGAGATGTCTGAATTGGACATTGAAACAAATATGCATTTTTATAATGGCAACTTAAATGTTCAAATGTAATAATTTATAATAAATAATTGAATATATATATATATATATATATATATAGTGTATTTACCAAAAATATTATATTTAGTGGAATGCTCCATGGAATGAAAATGTTCAGTACAAGCAGATATCATACCATGGAGATGTTTATGTGTTTCCTGTAGTTGTGTCAGAGTGGTTAGATCATGTCCTTCTAGGGACTAGATGGTCATTTTGGAGAATTTATCTGTGTGTTGGACATGATGCATCAGTGTTTTTTCAGTGTTGGCAACAGTGGCCAATATCAACATTTTGTGTAAATTGGCATGATTTTTGCACAGGATAATCCAGTCTTAGAATACTTTAGTATTGCTAAAACTTCTATGAAAGTATTTTGTCCAGTCTTTGAAAAGATTTTAAGCAATATAAATATTGCTTTGAAAGAACATCCATGTCTTTTGGGAGAACTTCTATTCAACACAACATCTTAATATCAAGAAAATCTTTTTAAGCTTAACTGTTGAACAAGAGGTTTACATTATGATCCTTTCCTTGCAAACTAATTCTATCATCTGCGTTATCTCAAATAAGATTGTTTTATCTATCATCTCAAAATCTTTGTTTGGCAGAAAACTGAAATAATGCACTTAAAATGTCTAAAATCCTTATAAAAAATATAAAGTAAGCTTTTTCTTCCCCACCCTGTAAGGACATGAAAGTGGGTGTTTTATGGACTTGAACAGTCCAATAGGCAAGTTTTTTTTTTTGTTTTTTTTCTGTCGGCTGATCAAGGTCACATCTTACTGTGTTCTCATCAATGTACAGTGGTTATCCAAAGCGTGTTTCTTGTTGTTTATAGCAAAATGTATTCGCTTGGAATGTATATTTGTGTTTTAGGACTTGTTTAGATTTCGTCTAAGTAACTACAATTCTTTATTTTCATTGTTTTTTTTTGCATTTGTTTATTTTTTTACATTTATTTTTTATAACAAACCCAAGAAGTGTACAGGCAGGATTTATGTAAAACAGGAAACATACACGCTTTCATAAAACTCAGAAAGTTTGTGCATGTATGTTTTTCTATGTCAGCATTAAAAAGTATATGTGTATGTGTGTGTATGTGTGTGTAATAAAAAAGGATTGTGGATATTTATTCATTTATATGTGGGGGGGGATACACTTGAGAGAGAGAAAGAGAAAGAGAGGGAGAGAGAGAAAGAGAAAGAGAGGGAGAGAGAGAAAGAGAAAGAGAGGGAAAGAAAACATAAGGATATTTTTGAGGCTGTGTCTATATAAAAATATGTGTATGAACTAGACACTGACATAAAATAGAATGTAGATGTATTTGCTTCCATTTGTAAGAAGAAAGAGTGATACAGAGAGAGAGGGTGACAGACAGAGATAGATAGAAAGAGTAACAAAGAGAGAGTAAAAGAGCTGAAGAGGAAGGGAAATAGAGAGAAAAATGAGATAGAAAGAAGAAGTGATAGAGAGAGAGGGAGAGAAAACGAGGAAGAGGATGAGAGATAGACAGAAAGAATAACAGAGAGAGAGTGACAGAGAGAAAGAGTGACAGAGAGAAAGAGTGACAGAGAGAAAGAGTGACAGAGAGAGAGGGAAAGACAGAGAAAGGGCGAGAGAGAGCATCATAGAGTACAGAGAAAGAGAGAGCATCACAAAGAGAGAGAAAGAGTAAGAGATAGAGTAAGAGAGAGAGAAAGAATGACAGAGAGAGAGAGAGTGACAGAGGGAGAGAAAAAGAAAGAGTAACAAAGAGAAAGTAAGAGTGAGGGAGAGAAAGAGAGAGAAAGAGCTGAAGAGGAAGGGAAATAGAGAGAAAAATGAGAGATAGAAAGTGATAGAGGGAGAGGGAGAGAGAAAGCGAGGAAGAGGATGAGAGATAGACAGAAAGAATGACAGAGAGAGAGTGACAGAGAGAAAGAGTGACAGAGAGAGAGGGAAAGACAGAGAAAGGGCGAGAGAGAGCATCATAGAGTACAGAGAAAGAGAGAGAGCATCACAAAGAGAGAGAAAGAGTAAGAGATAGAGTAAGAGAGAGAGAAAGAGTAAGAGATAGAGTAAGAGAGAGAGAAAGAATGACAGAGAGTGACAGAGGGAGAGAAAACTGAGAAAACATCACAGAAAGAGAGAGAAATAGAGAGAGACCACCACAGAGAGAGAGAAAATGACAGAGAGAAAGTGACACAAAGGGAGAAAAAGACAGAGAGAGAGAGAGAGAGAACATCACAAAGAGAGAAAGAAAGAGAGAGGGTCAT